TTCGTTCTCACGCCCTCCCTCCCCGCGAAACCCTTGGTCGGAAGCGATCCATTGTTCCTAGTTCCCAGCAAGCAAGCTAGGCTCAACAACCAGGTATAGGTAAGGAAACAAAACGACTTTGCAGGAATAATAATAAAACCCGCGCCAGAGTTTCGACTTAACGACTTCTACAATACGGAGTACCGATGCGACTTAAGAGCCCTTCTGACAAGCCTAATCACTTAGCGTACCAGCCAGGAATCTCACCAAACCGAGAAAATAGAAAATTTCACACACAATCTGCCTCCTAGTCTGGAATCAACTCCTAGTTATGTACGGAGTGCTAGTACCAATGGCGTTCAGGCCGTTTTCCAACTCGATTTTTGAAACCCTAAGATGGAACCAAGTCCGTCAGCTCCCACGAACGCCTATTTTGATTTACCTCGATCTGTCCTCCGCGGATCTTGATCAATCGGGCGCCGTATCCCCGAATTCCGAAATTCGGTGGTTGGTTGTTGTGGGTGGCGTGCATGGAGCTTCCTCAGCCCTCTGTCAGTACCGAGCGAGCGAAAACTCTTATCAGCGTTCTTATACAGATCTGATCCAGTAGGAGGGAAATACGAGTGGCCCCAAATTCCGAAGCTAACCCAGCCGATCTGGTTTTGCCTGGTTAGTTACCGGCATTGACCGCATATTGCTCTCCCGAACATGTTGCCTCTATATACTAGTACAGAGTAACTATACAGTAATTACTGTACGATGGATCCATGGCAAATCTCACCATCCGAGGCATTCGGCAAACAAAAAAGTGGCTTGATGAGCTTGGAGGCCCGAAATTTTTCACAAATCTCCCTCAAGGTTACCCTGATATCATTATGTTACCTTGTTTGCCCTTGCCAATTATTCCCGTGCCCGAAGGAGACACCTGCTATTGCTGCGATTCCAATTTTAATGCTAAATATATCTTCATTGGTTTTGACGGACTGGAGTCTAGGTCACTATCCAGCAAGTCGGAGCAGCTCCGGTCTTCATACACGCCATCGCCGAGGAGTTGGCGAGGAGTTGATATTTTGGACGCCAAACAGTAGTAATAATGAACAGGAAGAAAGAAAAATGAAAAAAGAAACAAATAATTCAAGAAAACCTTTTCAAACCCCACAAGGCGGATCATTTAACCTACCTCTCCACTCCAATTAGGCTTCGTCTTGAGCGCTAAATAAGTTATTCCATTCTCAAGCCACATTTGGCGCAGGGATGTGCCGTCCAAAATCCAATTCCCATTTGCTTTGAGATACGTCTCTCGTGTTTTCGCCCTATGGAAACTTTTGCCCTAAATTTAACTTTAGGCGTCGAAGACAAGCCCCTGCATTGGCCCTAAGGCAATAATAACGTTTTCCAACGTTCTTCGGTCTTGCTGATGCGAACCAAGGGTATTGACAAGGGCCTCAGGTAAGGGTCAACAGGGACTCCTCAACATACGCAGCATGCCGGTCGGTTATCCATACCAGAACGAGGTTGGCAAGCGAAGTAGACTCAATCTCCTTGACATGCTAGACGATGGTGCAGGGCATTGGCGTGCAAGGCGAGGAAGAGCACACTGAATGAAATAAGCAAACAAAAAGAGAAAAGAGAAAGGTGGATATCTGATATCGTAGCGCTATGCGGTGTAACTGTTGAGCGGGTCCCCTTTCCAACATTTTGATCTGCGTTTCGCAATTTTGATACTATATCTGCGGGGTATATCAACGAGGGAACGGGAAGGATGAAGCGGCCCGCCAGTTTACTGAAATTCAAGCTTGGAAGAATTTGCTGCAGCTTCAAGCGGAATTGTTGCCAGAGAACAAAGAAATATATTCGATCTTGCATCCCGTATGAATGCCCTGTCCCAAGCTTCTTCCACACAATTTGAACAGTTGAAAGGGAGTCAAATGGCATTGGCAAGGATTGAGGGGATGGGGTGAGATACTTCTTTCCATGCCCTCAATATCTGAAATTTGTTTAGATATCTACCCGAGATATGTGAACGTGCTCCTTGGCGAGGGAAGGCTGGCTGGTTGCCCTCCTTTCCCTGACCACAAACTTTGAGGCATCTTGACAAGGGCCTTATTTTACTTCTCCTTTATCTAGAGCTTAACACCCCGAGAACAACCTTCAAATTGCTTCGGGGATTGCTCCCC